AGAAAGTTGGAGCTTTTAATAAGGAGTCTTAACATTCAAAAGTCTTACAAATCAAAAATATTACTCACCTTCTCCCAAGAGGTCTAGTGATTGTCCATTAAAATGACAGCAGAATAAAGAAACAGACCAATTAGAAGAACTGCCAGATTGAAGATGTTCATTAGCCATATATTCATTCCCTAAGTGACATGTCTGGATTAAACATAATTTCTGTGCTTGATTTTTCAACTTTCAAGAAGTTATTGTTACAGGACAAAGCTCATTCTGTTTAACAGCTCTATTCAAAACAGAACCAGTATGTAAGTTTCACATACTTGATAAGTTCCTTAACAGCTAATCAACAAGATGTTCAAACACTGGTAGTATTTATCATTTCTGTTTTATACAGCTGGTTTTCTTTTCTTTTCTAAACTGTAACAGAGAGAAGCAAGTAGTGACCTCTAAGGGTTGACAGGAAGGTCTCCTACCTTTCACTACCCCAGGGTAAGGCCAAGGACCACTTCTTTAGAAGCTCAATTCACCACTTTACTAGTTCCCTCTTGCATTTGGCTTAGCAGTATAAGAGTAAGACCAGAAGTAGGTAGACTTCTTTGAAGTTTATAAACCACTAACATCCCCCTAAAACACTGAAAATTTTAAATGCAAGTCCCTGGGCCTAACGGCAGACAGATTCAAGACTTTCACCAAGTAAAAGCGTGCAGGGGAAGAGTGAGCCTCAATGAACCCCAGTGATCACATGCAAGTACAGTTAACAGGCATAGTTGAAGATTATTTAAATCAATGGGCTATTAGCAGAACGTACTCAGATACCAAAGATAATCTCAAGATAATTGCTTAGTTGCAAGTATTTTCTCGACCAAAGTAGTCAGAAAGCAGTCAAAATCAACATTACAGTCATTAGAAGTAGACAGAATTCAGCTTACTGTTCTACCAAGTGAGCTGTTGTGATCCACCCATCAGCCCCGGAACCCTTTACACAACTGGCACTAAAGCCAGGGTACTCTAGCAGAGCACAGCTTGTTAATATATTGTAAATGCTTGTAATACACTTGTAAATACAGTGTTAAGTTACTTCAGGGTACAATACATGGCATCCCTACTGCCCCAAATATATTCTGAGGCAGACAGGCCATGGTTGTTGTACCCCAGACAAGGGATGGGGGTGGGCGGGGAGGGAAGGAAAAAGAGTTTTGAAAGCTTTTCCTGCATATGTGATAGAGCAAGCATACTATGAAGAAACACCCACCTCTGTTAACACTTGCTATGAGGAGTATGAAACACAACTTCAGTTCTTTAGTCAACTGTTTCTGGAAGCCAATGAAGCATCTTTAATGACAGACTTTCCTACAATTTGATGTCCTCTGAGATCAGCCAGATTGAGCTCAAAGACAGAGGAAGTTTTGCCAACGTAAAAACCAACTATAAGCTATAAAAACCTGTGAAAACTAACCAGTTCAGCCTATAACATTTTTATACTGCAGTTAGAATAGTTTGAGCTCAACAACTACCTATTTACTAACCAGTAGCTCAGTGCTGCTCCTAGATTCATTGTACACCTAACAGGGTCATGGGTTCATCTGATCCAGACTGAACAGCAAGCACAGAGTCCAGATGTTTTACTATGGGTCAGTTTGTAGTAAGCAAAATGCTTTGAGTAAGTACAGCTCATCTTTACAAGTTTGTCTTTATTTTACAACACTTGTTAAAAAGGCACCAAAAAACCACATGTAGGTATTTTCATAATTGGTTCCTTGGGAGAGCTCTACTTGAGACTTGACTGCACAAGCTGAGGTACATCAAAATACCATGCTGAAGGAGTGGAACAGTATATTAAAAATGCAGCAATCTGGTATCTCATTACTGCACACCAGGTGGACGCCTCACAGTTAGACTTGATATAAGCGACTGTCGGCAAACTTTTACCTTCTATTAGCTTATTCCTCAGAGCCTTTTTGTTATTCAGTTATGTTACAGATCACAATACAGTGAAATTACAGTCATCCATCATGGCAAGCTACATTTACTCTTAATATGGGAAGGATTAAAACCAAGGCTTTATTGTATAGTAATATTAAAGTAACAATACAAATAGCAAATCCATGTTCTAAGGCACACTGCAAGGTAGCTCAGAGCAGAAATTCAAGTCAATTTGCTTTTATATCTGAGAGCCAGACCTCAGGAGGATGCAGAATTTGATCTACTGTATTTTTTGTAATACTACAGTCTAGCTTGCCTGCCAAATGCCTATCTATTCACCTTGTAGTATGCTGCAGGCCACTTACTACCTTGATCATCTCCTGTCAGCACAGGAGTGTAGATTTTCACAAGTTATAGTTCATTTGCTAGATAGCTTACATTGTATTCAGAAATATACAAGGTATACAACAAAATATACAGTGTACTATATATACCACTAAATATAGTGTACTATACTACATATAGATATATGCTGGAATACACAGAATCTACACTGCCAGTGAGACTGAGAAAGCAGGATTGTTTGGTCACAGGTATTCCTGAGGTTTATGTGACATTTGAAGTGCCAGTTTGATGCTGCATCTTGAAGTATTTGATATCGACATTTTCCTAGCTATTCTGAACTGCAGCAATTCTTCCAGCTTCCTCCCCCTACTAATGCTTTCTCATGAGCTCCCACATTCACTTGCTGTGGGCCAGAAGAGTTTTGCAGATGAGGAAGAAGCTCAGGAAGTAGGGAGGCACTGTTATACATCCTCCCACAAGTCCTGGGTGGAAGGAAGGTCATCTTGTCCAGCCTCCTGCTCAGAACGACATTACACCCAACACTAGATCAGGGCAGTCATGGCTTGGTCTAGTCAGGTCTTGAAAAATCTCCCAGAAAGGGGAGTCCACTAGCTCACATCAGGGATCTACTCCAGTACTGCCCTACCCTCCAAGTGAAATAATTTTTTCCTCATGTCCAATCAATCTCTGAAGCTGCCATCTATTGTTATTACCCTTCATTATAGTTAACTATAATTTCCAAGAAAATTTTGGCTCTGCTCTAACTCCCCTTCAAGTAGTTGTAGGCCACTATTAAGAGATGCTTTTAGCCTCCTCTTTGCCAGATGACAGAGGCCCAGCTCCCTCAATCTCTCTCTTCAGAGATGTGCTCTAGCTCCCTAGAGTCCTGGCAGCCCCCTGCCAAGCCCCTCTCCCTTAAGCAGGGGAGCCCAAAACTGGATGCAGTATTCCTGATGCGGCCTCACCAGCACTAATTAGAAGGCTTGTAGTACCTATGAGACCATACAATTTATAGTGACTACTAGCTTCAACCTGAAGATCTAGTTTAAGTAAATAAAAAAAACCTCCTAACCCTTAATATAAGCTCAAAGCTTTTCTCATTACCAGATGAAACATAAGAAAAAAAGAGGCCAAAAAATGCAAGATTCAAGTGTAGTAGCAGGTCATCATACCTGGACTCCTGCCAGCAGTAAAGCAAACCTGAAGCCTACTAAGTTACCAAAATGCTATTCTGAAAGATAAGACTGAAGTATACTTGATGAGCTAAGCAATAATCCTGGCCAAAGGAAAAATGTTAGTGGCGCATTTCCATTGTGGAATATGAGGACTAGGTGCATTACTAGTCAATTTTAAATTTTTCAGTAATTCAGAAAAATAAAACACCTAAGTTCCAAACTACAGATGCTTTGTCCAAAAGAGCAAAGCAAAAAACCCAAAATAAATCAGCTTTCAATTACAATGTGAATCAATATTTTACAATATTAATAGCTATTTACTCTGCATAAATGAGCAACTGTTTAAAAAAATTAGCTTAGAGACCTGACCTCTCTCAAAGATCTCAAAAGCTTGTGTTCCAGTACTTGACAATGACAAAGCAAGACAAATAGGACACAAAAATTGCAGAAAATAATTAGTCCCAGGCATCCTAGAATAGGTGACTCTTTGGTCTTGCTTTCTGGGTAAGATTACATTTCAGTTAATAAAATTGACACTTGTGCAAAAAAGAAATATTCAGTTCAACGGATTAAATACAAATATGCAAAACATGGTCTACAGGACAGCCATAGCTATTGTCTCATAATGAAGCAGCTGAGATACAATGTCATCTTTAATGAACTAAAGCAGAAACAGGGAGTGCAGAAGCCACTCGTACCTGGTATTAGCATTCATAGCGGAGTCAGCATGACTCAGTGTAGCATTGCTGCCGTGAGAGGGCTGATGAGTTCATTAAGCTGCTACACAAGTAAAGATCTCTTAAGATTACACCACAGTGGGTTTACAGCTATGTAGGTTAAATCACATTTACTGGCCTAATTCCTTGTCTTCACAGGACAGGAGTGAACACTGCCTACATTTATTGCAGTCCTCTTCAGATGACCAGCTGCTAGTGCTGCCTGGAACTCAGTTCAGGCTCAGTTCACCACAGAGCTCAGATTCCGGAGAGCTGGTTAGGTATTCCTATTTGAAAACAGTTAGCCCTCTATTTCTATTTTCATATTGTTATCCTAAGCAGACAAGGAAGATTTTAATAAGATACGTTAAGGGTTGTCAGAGGTAATCACACTTGCAGCAGAACTAATTTGCCACCATTGGCTTTAGATGCATTTTTGTCTTAAAATATTTTTTTTTTATCCTCCCGCTACTGATCTGCGGGCTTTGCTTTACAAACAGAAAAGTTGATTCCTGCCCTCATCTTGACAATAAGCACATGAGCAGTTCCAGGTCTTCTGTTTTAAAGTGCCTACCCTACCTGTTCACCCTCAGCCATCCCCTTCCTGCTCACTTTTAGTCACATAATCCTGGCTGCCCCCAGCTTTGCAGTCAGGCCCTTATAAGCAGCTTATACTATTATGCATATCCCTGGAAAACAGGAGTAGCCTTGCACGATGAAGGGATGCCCAACTGCCTGGTCAGCAGAAAACTGGGAGTGAGCTCGGAACATCCTGTGCTAGCAGAGAAAGAGGCAGGTTTCAGTTCAGCCAGGCAAGAAGACAAGAGACTGCCAGAAAAGATGCCGACAGTGAGGTTTCTCTACCTCCCCATGAAGTGGCTCCAGCAGGGGCTGCTGGAGCTGCCTGCCCAGTAGCAGCAAAATCTGGCTGAAGGTCCAGAAGATCACTGGATGGTTTGGAAGAGCTGCCAATGAAAGAGAGATATTAAATAGTGGAGGCATTTTTCCATTTTAATAAAGTTTAAAAAAAAAATAATGACTGGATTGTAGGAATTACCCTTAGTTTGGATGACTGATGAAACCATTAAAAGACAGATTTTTTCAGGCTTTAAGATTAGAGCAGTGGCCATAAACACCTCTACTGCAGTAAGTGCCAAGAATACATTACACCCCAGGATGGGGCCTTAACTTACTGCCATTATTTGATAATGGCTTCATAACAGATCTATGAGACTTTTGCAACCCTAAAAAAACCCCAAAGAACAAATCCCAAAACCAAAAACCAAAATCCCAGGTGGTCCCTAGGAACAGGGCAAGTAACTGCTGTGACTGAAAACAGCTCCTTCTACTTCATTATTTCATTGTGTGATGTCAGAAAGCAAGAAACCTGCATTTCCAGGCAATGAATAGGCATTAGGTAGAATGGAGTTGGTAAAACTCCTCTATGGCTTAAGCCAGCCAGATGTTTGCTTAGGAAACAATGTATTGGTCATTTAAAACATTTTAAATAATAAACAATAGAAGCTCTTTCTTCAGTGAAGTACTTCACATGACATTTAACTGAAGTTAGTCATATCTTCAGACATGTAAAGCTCTGGGGTTGAAACAAAAGTCCAGAGTTCTTTCATTTCTGCTCATTACAATGAGCAACAGTGGTCTGTTCTGGTTTTCACCTGAAAGCAAGTTTCAGATTTTCTCATCGGTCAAATGTTTCATTTTTATTTTAACCTCCAAAAGTTCATTATTTTTGTGCTTCATTAACTGATTTCAACAGCAAGAAAAAGGAATCTTAATTCAGCAGTTTTAGAAACAGAATACTGAAAGTCAAAGACTACTTTGGATTTGCACATTACTTCAGTCTATTCAATTAAAAGTTTATGTTTTTTTTAGGGGGGTGGGGGTGGTGTTTTTTTGTTAGAGCTCATTTGTGATCTATACCAGCACGATGATGTATCCCATTCAATACTGATGTACACTACATGTAAAATAAGCAAAATCTTCCAGGCAAGCCTCCTGTTACAAGTGTGACTCTGGCATCTACATCAAGCTCAGTAACTCCGATATGCTTTTTAACTTACCTGACTGGAGCAGCTGTAGATGAAGTTGCAAAAAGATCAACTGGAGGAGATGTATCAATAGTTTTCGCTGGAGTAGAACTAGGAGATGTAACAGTTGTTGCTGGAGAAGACTGGAGAAATATTTTAAATACACATTCAATATACCAGCATTTCTCCACAAACAACTCATGCACAGATTCACATCCTTTAAAAATCCAATTCTGACATCAAGTCATCTTATTGTGAGCTGTTCTCCCCTTTGAAAGAATTTGAAGACGACTGGGCTAAGTTTTCAGAGGGTGGTAGAGTTGGGAAACTTCAAGGTGATTCCACCTAGCAATGCCTGGCTCAGGAGGAAACGCTTATTGCATGCATTCAGAGCACCTGCAGGCACTGGTGACCTGTCGTCCCTTGGGTTCAAGACTAACCCCAACAGCTAGGCAACTAACTCAGATGTTAGTTGATTTGTGACCTGGAGGTGCCTTATCTGCCTTTTAAAATCTTAATTAGGGTAATTTAGAGTTCCTATGTGTCAAAGGATTCTCAGCAAGTTCCAAGAAAATAGTTCGCTCTCCAGCAAACCCCCTCCTCTCAGTTTTCAGACCATCCTGAAGATGGGAGGAATAAAGTATTTGTATGGGTTTGTTTCTACATCTGTCAGACCCTTCATTTTGTCTATGGAGTGAAATATCTGCCTGTCCACAACAGCACCTTAAGTACTGTAACCATAGAAACGGTGGGAGAAGAGAAATGGTTAGAAACTAAGTTAAAAATGTGCACATAAACCTTCAGACTGAAGAGAGTTTAAAGATCCATCAACAGTGCTAACGGTTAAATGCTTGGGAAGACGTAGAAGACAGCTCAGCCTTTGATTTTGCTTCATTGGCTGCTCCAGTTTTAGATAAAGACACCTTAAGTATCACAAGGACAGACACCCAGGAGAGTATATTGCAACATTTCTGTGTACTTGAAGACTCAAGTTACCTTGAAGAGTGTCAATTTAATTTTAAATGATACCACAAGCTTTGTTACAGCATCTCACACGCTAGAGATATCCTTTTCCTATGAAACAAGTCCTATGCTTAGTACTGTTTGCCGTTCTGACAGCTTCCAAGAAAGAAAAAGAATGGCAAATTCGAAGTGATTTTCTTCTTAGTTCTGCTACTGCCATCCCATCATCACAACTCTAGCAGGAGATGGATATAAGTTTTCTAGACTCTCCTCAAGCCTTTACTAAGGTTTCAGACTAAATTGGTCCAAATTCTTCATGTCAACCAGGGAAGAGGGGGTTACTTAACATTGTAAGAACACTTTCTGAGCCATAATGTAGTTCTCACCAACTGCTACTGTATTGGATGAGATTTAAAAGTATGCTGTTTGGAAAGAAGTTTAAGAGCTTTCACTAGAATCGACCATTGAATTGTCTCCCTCAGATTCAGAAGTTTTCATTGAGTTTTTCCTGCACAACAGCCATTATTAGACACAGAACTATGGCACCCAGCAATGCTTCACAGATACCAGGAACTACTATCACTAACACTGTAAAGCTCATTAGTTTATCTGACACTCAAACCAAGACGTTTTCACTGGCAACTCTTGCTTTAGATTAAGGTGAGCCATCTCACTAATAAAGGTCAATGCTGAAATGAGGTATATCAGATGGAAGTTTTCTTGGCTTTTCACATAAAGATGGTTTTAAGAGTCATCACTTCCTCCTAAACAGCTACAAATAGAACACAGAATTTGGAGGAGAAGTAGTACAGAGTTAGTTTCTCACTGACATGAGGATTTAGAAAAGAGTTGAGACAAAGCTATGGGTATCTAATGTTTTCACAAAGCGTGACCATCAAACCCCACCCTGGTACAAGAACTACAGCCCTTCAGATCAGCAAAGTGCTTTTACGGGACCATTATTTACAAGGCCATTTAAAGACGCATATTTGTCACTTAGGTAGGGCCTAGGTGGCAAAGTCTAAAAAGCAGATTAGGAGATGGAAATTTAACTTCTTATGCCCTAAAGATGTTCTAGAGCATATCACCTGAACAAGAACTAACTAGTACAGCAACTGACAGTATTTACCTTGCTTAGAGGAGAAGGAGCCCCAGATCTAAGGAGAAAAAAAAAAAAAGAGGGGTTCAGATAAGGACACTTTTGGAAACCATGTTTCCAGTCATCAAAACTCATGCAAAAAGACCAAAAGCTAAGCATGACATCCTTCTGAAGATCTCTACAAATGCATGCCCTCCCCATTCCTCGAACTTTCACGTGTCACCGTAGACAAGGAATGCAAACTGTTACTTCAAAGCCTAAATGAATATTTTTAGCTAATTGGTATCACAGTATTACTCTCCCTTTTAAATAAGCTCTACTAAATGGAGGAAAGGCAGAGATATATGCAAGTGTCTTGTGTTAGGGCCTACAGAAGCCAGCAGGCAAGAGTTATTGGGACAAGACGTCACTGTATTACAAAACCATGCAACAGCAGCAGAGTAAGACCACTACAGAAGCAGTTATCTAACATAAATCTTCTGAGGATGTGTCAGCAAATTTTGAAAGTCTACTGTTCTTTTCCAGAAAGTCAGAGTTACGTTAAAATGGTGGTATTTAACAGTATGGACTTTCCAACTGTTTCCAAGCTGAAAGTCCTCCCACATGCAAGAAAATCACACTAACAGTAACCGACAGAGCCTTAATATTAAGTTAAAATGTACATCAGTGCATGTGTTTACTTTCATTATTACGAGGTATGAAAATACTGCTACATATTTTTAGAGTTCCTTTGATCTAAGAGATGAAAGGAGGAGTTGAAGTTAAAACTGCACCAGTATTGAACTAGCATCCATCCTACAGGTTGAATTGGGTAAGTCCTAGGAGCTGTAGAACTGATTAGAAGACCTGGAGCCAAGACAGAAATGACTAAAGATAATTTAATGGCTATACAGAAAAGCAAGCAACAGTTTAGGTACAATTTAAAGAAGGTATCTATTTCAAATTGTTCAAGCCATGCCAAAAAAAACCCAAAACAAAACATAACCATGTCTGCATGCAAGCAATACATAAACATACATACTTACCCTTCACTAAATTGCAAGGAAAGCAACAGCAAAAGAGAAAACACAGGTTTAGCTTAATCCTTCCTAGACTTAGCCATGACAAGTATCTAGTAAGAAGATGCAAAGCCATTAGAAAACAAATCAATTTTGATGATAAAAGCCGTAGCTGCAGGGAAAAACAGTTCCTTCTAGGAGTTTTCTATAGTTAATTTTACTTCCTTTTGGAAAGTGTCTAGTTGTTCAGTGTGTCCTTTCCCCCCACTCCCCAGTACGAAAAACAACTTCCATTAAGATGACTTTGTAAGGGAAAGGAAAAGCCTAGTCTTACCACAGCTTACTTTCCAGCTAAGTGACAAAAGACAGTTGGGGGAGGCAAATCTAAACATCAGCTAGTCTCACATTGTAACTCTTACGCCCTTATACATGGTACAACATATATACCTACTTGTTTCCAGGTTTTTTTCCTTCCAGGGAGTTTAGATGTTGCTCAAGGGTCTCCATGAGACTGCTAGGAGCCTTGAAAGCAAAGAGAAAGATACACTTCTAAACACAATACACTGACCTGACGATACTTCAAAATCCAGCACCAACTTCCCTGAAGTCCACCATGTGCATGCTCATGCTGTTATTTTATTTATGCAAGTGTGAAAAATAGTGGATTTCCATGCAAGAAGTACTGTGTCAAAGACAGCTTTTGAAAGATAACACTTTGCCCAAATTTGCAGAGAGAAAACTTTTACCTCTACTAAACAGCACCTGAAGCCTAAATCCAGGATAAGCTGCTCATCATGCTTTGAGACAGTGTTAAACATTGACAACAGCACAGGCATCCACAGGGTTAATTTTAAGAGTAATAGGTTCAAGGTCATCCTTTCAGTTTTGCTTTTAGTCAGACTTCCCAACATCTTTCATGACCACAGGGTTAGGTAATATTTACAGTCTAAACAAAACAAACCAAAAGTCCTTTTCAATGCCCCCAAAAGCAGCTACCTTTGGTTCAAGACTCCCACCATCACAAAACCTTTAGCTGTTTCTTCTCAAAATGACAGCCAGGCACAGGCTCCTGAACCCAGCAGCTAACTCAAAATTGGGAAGAATTACTATTTTAGACATCTAAAAAAACTAAGCTTTTTCAAACCTTCTTAATCTTAAAGACTTTAAGCAACCTTTTGTGGTCAGCCAATACCCTCAGGCATGCGCTTGCTGTTAACAATGATAGATAGGAAAAGTAGTCCTAAATAAAATGACAGTGTGCTTCGCTACTCCAGTGTAAAAATAGCATCCAGATAACCAGAATTCTACAAGATCAACAAGCAAGGAGGAAACCCTTGAGAGATACAGTAGCATATAATAGTCAAGTATTTCATCAGGGTTACCAGTTCATCAATGGTACAGCCTTTAAACGAGGAATTCTCTTTATCAGTCTCTTTCAGATCAACCACAATTCCTGACAGCAATACCTACGGTGTTTTTCATAAAGTCTTTAATTTCAAGGTATATATATGCATCAAAATGTCAGTTTGTGATGCTTGAAAACAGACTATCCACTGCTCATACGTACAGTATGCTGAAAGCCACGTGGCTGGCTGAATCAGATGTTTCAGGATGCTCAGTACCTGCTAATACTAATGCACAGCTAAGTGTACTTACAGCGTCTGCGTATTAATTTTGTTATTAAAACTGAGCAATAAGGTAACTTCACACATTCAGAAATTTAAAATGCTGACAAAAAACCTTAAATGATGTCTTGAGTTTAAATGTCCCATGCAATTATGCAATGCAGAAACATCTTAACCACTGCTGATATTATAGGCATATTTATTTACTTTCAACTAATTTGAGCACAAGACAGAATTCAGTTAAATACAACTGACTTATTTACAAGAATTCCAGCAACAAGAAAAAGATGAGCAAAGGCTCTCATTTGCAAAAAAACCCCAAAGATGCAGACTTCTACATATTCAAAACAGCTGTAATATAAGATACAATTTTTGTCTACTTAAACATGTAAGCAGAAAGCTATGTTTCAAACAAATAAAAAAAAAATCCATTATTATTTCCTGTTACCAGATACCTCTACACACTTTAAACAACTTTCCAATATATTATTCACAAGTTTCTTAAAAGCCAACGAGGTACTATGAAACTCATCTATCAAACTGAATTCACAGAGGAAAATTTGGTGAATGGCGTTAAATCCAGCTGGCAGCC